CAGGCGGTAAATAATTTCACTTGGAGTCGTGGCAGTGCTATAACCTGTTTCTATATATATATATATATATATATATATATATATATATATATATATATATATATATATATATATATATATATATATATATATATATATATATAAACAAAACAACAAATTTCAATCTTAAAATTTTATTTCATCGCTGCACAGTGTTTCACGTACATCGTACAATCAACAGGCGTATATATATATAACAATTATTGAATGAGGATGAGCACGATATGAAGAATTATCAAGCCCGAAGTTTGCCGTTATCAACCGAAGCCGAAGGCTGAGGTTGACAACGGTAAACTGAGGGCTTGATAATTCTTCATATTGTGCAAAAACCGAATTCAATAATTGTTTTATTATTTATTTAAAAATTCAAAACAAACGGTCATCTATTTGGTCGCCCGCGTTAATCAGCCAATCAAGAATTAGGAAAAGTGTTAATCTTACCTATTCTAGAAGCTTCTGCTGATCTTTTTGTATTTAACGAGTCTGTATCTTCCTGTAATTTTTGAATTTCAGTTTCGCCAAGGTTGACGAACCTTTTAGTGGAAGAAGCCATTTGTATTTTATTTGTATTAAGAAAAAAACAACAATTCCTTAGTCCTTCGGCAGCTGTCGTTGCGTCATATTAATGGCGTCAGCGAGTCAATATGATTCTCGTCGACATAGTAATATTGGGCAAACGCGTCCAAATTTTTTTCATATTGATTCTTTGACGTCATTTTTCTAATATGAATGTGAAAAATCCGTATTTGGTTAGCCACTGAGTTGATATGACAACTTCACAGTTGGCTGTTAGCCAATCAGAACCCAGGATTTTTTAAATAAATTAAATAAATATGTATATATATATATATATATATATATATATATATATATATATATATATATATATATTTCAAGCTCGCCCGGTGTAGATACACACTCAGAGTAACATCACAAATATCATATTCACCTGAGTACACAACACCAACACAGAAAAAATCATATTACAAGATTACACTGGTATCGAAGGAACTAGATTCTGTTCCGAAATATCACTTACTCGAACCGTCCTGACCGCGTAGCCCAGTTGGAAGAGCATTGGGCTAGTATTCCAAAGGTCGTAGGTTCGAATCCCACCGTGGCCGGGCATATTTTTCAAGCTCGCCCGGTGTGGATATACACTCAGAGTAACACCACAAATATCATATTCACCTGAGTACACTACACCAACACAGAAAAAAAATCATATATTCTCTCGCCAAACTCCAGTCCCCTGCCAGACTTTCAACCAAAATTTGGTGCTTCTGTCCGTATTTTCATTTAGTCCTTTTGTTAAAGCAAAATTTGGTGCTTTTGTTCATATTTTCATCTAGTTCCTCTAGGGCAATTTCATTTCACGCTTGTGTTTAAAATACCTTTCCGCCATTTTGTTTGTTTTGGGAAAATCATTAATTGTACTGCAGTACAATTAATGAAATAATTGTACTCCTCTCAACCAATCAGCATCCAGTAATTTTGTCATGCTAAGGGCGGACCATTAGAAATCCCGGGAGGGGGGGTGAAAATTCCCAAAAAAAAATTCGTGCAAAGAAAAATGCCTGGAAAAAAAAATTCGTGCAGCCATTACGTCAGAGAAAAAAATTCGTGCAAGCAAACAGCAAAGTACAAGTAGTCTTGAAAAAAAATTCGTGCAGAGGTTAAATGCATTAAAAAAAATTCCTGCAGAGACATGAGACTGAAAAAAAAATTCGTGCCGCAAAAATTTTATACCCCCCCTCCCGGGATTTCTAATGGTCCGCCCCTAATAATAAATGCTGTAACTTTCCATGTTTATCATGTTGCACCCACTGATCTAGTGGTTGCATCCTTCACGTCTTATCACCCCGCCCCCTTTTTAAAAAAACCCACCCCTTGTTACCATTTCAGTTCTACACCACTGGTTAGAGCTCGACAACTGTCTTTCTGTAGCTTAGTTGGTTAGAGCACTGTCCCGGATTCGCAGGTTCGATTCGTGCCAGACTAGAAGGCCGATAGACATTTTTCACAATTGCTCCTGACTCCACTCGAAAATTTCTATCTACAAAGCTTTTCGTCAGACATATTACTACTTGATATAACTGATGCATGTTTTCAAACCAGTTGGTCTATTGGATGAACCAGACTTTAAAACAACTATATAATTAATTTGGTTCTCCTAGACCAGTTTTAATAATCATAGTGCCAAAACTCATCCCCTACATAAACTAACATTGTGATTCCCACCAATAATTCAATGTGTAAAAATCCATAACATAGCTATTGTATTTTTTTCAGGTATGTATTTCTTTCCTGTATTTCTTTTTATTTCTCTTTATATCAGTGTGGTAGTTTAGTTATTAAACTATATATAGATCGATAGATAGATAGTTTATTAAAAATACACATTGCAGCCAAAGATTTCCTTAATTCAGCTTGAGAGCCTGTTCGCAGGCTAAGCTGAATTACGTGTAAGAGATTCTATCGCATTCCCATTAAGCACTTCGCTCCCATTGTTTTTCCACTGACCTCTATTCCCAACTGAAGCGACGAGGGACGAGGCAGGTGTAAGATTACAAATCGAAGTTAGATATGTAGAATTAGGCATTAACTCATAACAATCTCGAGATGTTTACATATTTAACCATGATATGTAAATATAACTAAATCATTCTGAGTATTTTCTCGTGAGCTCACAAATCAATTCAGTCGTTTCACTAAGAAATCGACATGCGCTAACAGTAGCAGTTCCGCTAATCGTTATTCGAAAAGGAGAAAATGTGCTGTCAAGTAGATTTTTTAGGGTGGTGGGTGCTGGACTTCTCTAGGGGAAGGGGGTGCTAGACACTACTAGATGGGGGGGGGCGGTAGATCCGCCCCTGATAAGCAGGGCCGCAGAGAAGGGGGCAAATTGCCCCGGTCCCCGAGGTACTGGGGGCCCCTGAAAACTTTTTGTTGGACCCCAGTCTTTTTTGTGTGTTAAATATTTCCGCGCAAAGGACAAGATATCTGTTTTTTGGGCCTAGTACCGAATTTTGGCATAAAAAAATGAGATAAAGTCCCTGGAAAGCAATTGCAACGTACTCGTCCGGAAAAATTTTTGTACCCCTAAAATGGTACACTGACCGAAATTTTTTGTCGACGGGGGAGGAGGTTGTTCTCCAAAAAAAATTTTTCCGGAAAAATGTTTTAGATAGGGGCCCAATCTCGTACCCAGAGCCATCGTTGGCTCAACGATGGCTCTGGGTACGAGATTGATAGGGGCCTCTAAAAAAAAATTGGCCCGGGCCCCCGCCAACCTCTCGGCGGCCCTGCTGATAAGACTTGCTACCAATCCTCGTGTCTAGAGACTCGAAGAAGCGAGTTTGAATCCCGCTCGAGAAACGCATTTTGCGTTGTACTCGAGAGTTTACATTAGTTTCCAGGGACCGGTTGTATAAAAAATTGATTAAAGTTAACTATAGTTAGTGGAAACGTCATCCAATAAGAAGCCCATATCTGAGAGTTAATCACTATTTAACTACCTGTACAAAATAGTGATTAAAAAAATTATTAAGGCCCTGTTTACACTATACCGGATTCGCTGGTCACGACATCTTCTTTTGCCGTTACGGAGCAATGGTTAGTAGCAAATGCTTATTAGTTTGACAGAATTGGCATGTTTATTTGGGTCTTTGAGATTAAAAATCTTCACAGCCTTTCGATACCTACAAAATTTGACCCACTCCGATAGCAATCCGGTATAGTGTAAACGGGGCCTAAGAGTTTTATACAACCGCGCCCCCAGTTTAGCATAGCATGTGTTCACAAGTTTATCTTTGTTTTCAGCGACGGACAACAAAGCGAAACCTTCCAGCTTCCACATGACATTGAAATTTAACTTCACGGCCAAGATCCAGTCTGACGAGAGCGTCGAGGCAGCCGAGTTCCGCATATACAAAGATACCCCTAAGTACTCCTGGATGAAAAACGCCTCGTTCCTGGTCGAACTGTCTGTTATAACCATTCCAGGAAACGCGACTCCTAAACTTGACAAGAAACTGAACAAACGAGTTATACAGGGTGATGAAACCGGTTGGGAGATCTTTGACGTCACGAATACGGTCGACATGTGGATAATATCCCCGGGGAATAATTACGGATTGGAGATATCGGTTACGTTAATCAGAAAGGATTTCCCAATTCCTGTCGACCCGAAAAAATTCGGGTTTGTCGGTTTCAAAGGTCCTTACGATGAACGGCCGTTTATCGTGAGCTTCTTCAATGGCGACCCGACAGATAAAGGGGTAAAGATCCATGCTTCAGGCAGAAAAAAACGTTCTCTGTTCAAACCTGGTAACCTAAAGTACGGTAATACGGCCAGTTCAATGGAATGCAAAAAGCGGCATCTTTATGTGGACTTCCATGAACTCAGTTGGCAAAACTGGATAATCGCTCCAGATGGTTACGAGTCGTCCTACTGCGCCGGGGAATGTAACTACGCGATGTACACGTCACATAATGCAACCAATCACGCGATAGTTCAAACGTTGGTGAACCTCCTTAATCCAGACTCGGCTCCAGCTCCTTGCTGCGCGCCGACCAAGTTGAACGCGATTTCGGTTCTGTACTACGATGACAAGAAAAACGTGGTCTTGAAGAAATTTCAAGATATGGTCGTGCAATCGTGTGGCTGTCACTGACTCAGGTATTTCTTCCAGTCCAATTAGAGAGCGGAACATTGCGTAAAACTAAAGAGTATTTGGGTTACAGAGTATCATAAATGTATAGTTGCCTTTAACTACCGTCTGCATGGGCAAACGCATTGAAAACTACTTAGCACATAACTTTTTACCATTAATGGCCTTTATCACGGTTTTTGAGTCAATGCAAATTTTTAAAGGTGATGTAAAGTCCGTAATGTAAACAAACGCTTTGTTTACATTTTGAACTCAGTGCGATAGTTGTAAAATGTGATTAGATATATATTATACTGAATTTTTAACACTCTTCTGCTTCGTTACGCTTGTAAATGAATACAGACAAGAGATTCAATTCAAGAAAGTTCGGAAGGTGCGAAATATTAACAACATTCCAAAGGTTGTTCCCCCACTGATGGAATGTGTTGATGCGCAGTAAATATGCGCAGAACGGACTTTACAGCATGTTTAAATACGCCAATTTGAAGTTTCCGCTGCGCATCCAAATGGCGCATTTTGCGTCAGGGTAAATTCCAGTTGAACTACAGCGTGTATAAAAAAGCGACCTTTAAAAATCACCCTTTTGTTGTCAAAAGCGCGTTATTATACATCTGGGGATTTAATCAAATACTCCTTGGTGTGTGGTCAGTTGAACCATTTTTAATCGATCTGACGGGACTAATTCCTACATGTAAGGGGCTGTTCATATGGTCCCGCTTACCCGGGATTCAATGAAGTGTGAAGTATTTTGAGCAATTGAAATACGTTTTTCATCCGTAAACAAAAGTTAGATTTTATTAAATATTGTTGAAACGAAATTTGGAACGCGCTAGAAGTTATGTAGTGGAAGAAGACGATTTAATAGCATTCAACAACATTTTTTTTTTGTCTAAAACATGGAATTTCATACAATTTGTAACAAGCTATATTTTGTTAGATCATGAAGTGCGACTTATTTCAATTGCTCAAAATACTTCACACTTCATTGAATCCCGGGTAAGCGGGACCACATAAACAGCCCCTAAAGGTGGAGTTACACGAGCAACAAAATTGCTGCAACTTGCAACAAAATCTGATTTCAACGCATGTTAATTGAAAAGGTTTACACATAAATTACAAATCACGAGGCAACATGTGTCGACATTTCTACTTAACATGCGTTGAAATCAGATTTTGTTGCAAGTTGCAGAAATTTTGTTGTTCGTGTAACTCCAGCTTAAGACTAAGTCGTTTTAACTTTCAATTAGAATTTTCATGTACAATTTACGCAGTTTTAATATGCTCGTACGATTACAATAAAGAAGAAGTTTGGGTGTTTACAACAAAAAAGTGATTTCTAAAGGTCACTTTTTTGGGGACACCCTGTATAACATGTAAATGAGACTGGAAGGATTAGAATATGCATATTAAAGTATTCAACAGTTCAATCATTATTGGTGTATCAAACTCATTAATAATTCATGAGTAAATTAGCCAACCATGTTGCTTTATTTTGCTCACATGATAACACTGCATGGATACCTAGTGAAGTATACGGACCCAGTCCTAGGACTGGATCAAAATTAATTCACCTCACTTTCAGTAGTGATTTATTCGTATGAGATGTCATTTCAAATCCTCCAATTCGGACTACATGGACTAGCTTTCAAGTCCTCGCATTTTGATTCAGTCAAATTACGCGGACTTGAAATCTAGTCCAGTCCTCAAAGTCGAATTTGAAATATCACATCTCTTATAGCTACAATAGAACTGTCCATTAATTTTTGTACCAGCATGTCTTCTGTGTAAAGCAAAATAAAAAAGGTATGGTTTCAAGCAAATCAACCGTGCGGAAACTAATTATTCTATCTCAAACTCATTAATAATTCATGAGTATAATAGCCAACCATATTGCTTTATTTTGCTCACATGATAATACTGGATACCTGGTGAAGTACATTGATCCAGTATTAGGACTGGATCAAAATTAATTCAGTCCTTGGACTGGATCAAAATTAATTAAGTTGTGATTTATTCGCATGAGATGTCATTTCAAATCCTCCAATTCGGACTGGACTAGATTTCAAGTCCTCGCATTTTCATTGAGTCCTTGGCTTCACCTCGGACTTGATCAAATTGCGTGGAGTTGAAATCTAGTCCAGTCCTCATAGTCGGATTTGAAATATTACTTCAGCAACTTTTGGACATTCAAATGGTGATTGAACAGTTGAATACTTTGATATGCATACTTTATTCTTCCAGTAACACAGTTTGCAAACTAAAGCCTCCACATATTCTGTACATGCTAACTTTCATTTGCTCTTTTCATTTCTGGTATATATAGAGAACTAACATCAAATTTTACATCGACTCAAGAAACGCGATAAAGGACTATTCTATTCAGTGAGCTCCATATATATATATCTGGAGTGAGAGCTCGAGGCCAAAAATTGAAGCCAAGAAAAAACTGGAATTAGCTGAGGAAAATGGTATTAAAACTGCTTAAAACCTTCTTCAAACCATAGCCTATCGAAGGGAAGATGGCTGTGAAACTCATTAGAATAACAAAATAACTCATTATCTATGTTAGTCAACGTTTATTCATAAATCTGGTCGTTTCACCGTCACGTGTGTATTGTATTTTTACCAAATCTACCAATAGCAATTTCCAGTTTCCCTATTGTTCGAGTCACGGATAGGTGACTTTCCAAAAACATTGCTGGTTAGTTGGGTAAAAATACAATACACACGTGACGGTGAAGGACCAGATTTATGAATAAACGTTGACCAACATAGATAATGAGTTCTATTGTTATTCTAATGAGTTTCACAGCCATCTTCCCTTCGATAGGCTATGTTCTAACACAGAAAAATTTTAAATTTCCATTAATGGTTTTCAAATGGTTTTTAAAGATTTACCATGTATAAAAAACTGAACTCTTACCATTATTGGTTATTGTATATTTCCCACATGGTAAATACCATGATGTTTAATATTTGTCATTAATGGTATTTTCCTGTGCACAGGAAAAAAAATAAAGTACCATTAATGGTAAATATTAAACATCATGGTTTGTATTAACTAATTTAACTTACCATATGGGAAATCTACGATAACCAATAATGGTAAGGGTTCAGTTTTTACATTAAAAAACCCAACAATGAAAAGTTCAATTTTTTTTCCTGTGTAAAGATATCGGACGTCAATTTCCGCCATTTTGGCTTCACTTTCTCTCAAGCAGAATGACTGAAATTCTTGCTCCAGATATGTGAAGCGCTCACTGATTCCACTCATCCTGTTCTGATTCCACTCATCCTGTTCTGGGGACTTTTACTGGAGTATATTACGTATTGACGTCGCAAGTTGCCAGAAGCTAGTTGGCACAATTCTCTATAGAATTAGCCATTGTTTTATTCGCCTCAGCTTTCAGCTTCGGCTGATAACACACAATTCAATCTTAACAGTTCTTAATAACTGTTAAAGTGCCACTAACCCCAACTTTGATTTTTGGCATGTGTAATATTTGGGTCATTCTAAGAAATATAAAATATCTTTTTGGTAAAAAGTCTTGTCTTATTAAAGGATAATGGCAACGGAATTTTTTTTATCTCATTTGAACTTTTGATTGTCACTCAGTAACTTAGAAGTAATTTTGTAAAGCTAACCCCACACCTGACGTCATCAAAACGATAGTTAATGACGTTAAGAATTAATCCAAGATGGCGGATAGCTCATTGCATGCAGTCAAAATATTTTAGCAACAAGATTTAGATTTTGTAGACAATTTTAAACGTTCTACCAAACAATAAAAACTTTTGCTGCCATTGTCCTTGTCCTTTTTTTAATCAACTTTTTCACTGTTAAAGTTTCGAGATATGATGAATTTTGAAAGTGAAAAAGGTTTCTTACTATAAAGATATAATTTCATATTTGGCGTTTAGTGAATTTTAAACTTCTGTTAGCCGAAATGACGATTAATCCTTTTGAAACAACGTGTATTTCTGTATGAAAAGCCCACATAGTGACATAAAATACCATATATAACATTAGTATCCAATATATTTACGAGTTATCTATAAACAGATTCCATATTTACTAGCCAGTCGATGGCACATAGTAACTTTTTATGTACATTATATTTGTTAAAAGCTATAAGTATAATCATGCCGTTGATGTGATGTAAAATAAAGCTAATATCCACATTGGCAAGACTACAACAGTTACATCTGGGATACGTATTTGCTAATTTCATACTCAATTTTCTAATTATAATGGAGGTATACTCCATGTTACATAAGATGGGTAGTTAAAGTTATATTAAAAGATTTTATTATAAAATATCGAATAAAGTTTTAAAATTAATGTATATGTACAAGATATATGTTTAGGTTATATAGTTAATACGTGAATTAATATTCTCATCAATGGCGACGCCATCTTGTGATCTTGAATCATAATGTTGTGGTATAGGCCCATTGATCTGAAATAGTGTGACCACTACATATCTACTGTGGTCAGATTTCTAGAGATTTTGACAGACTTTTTTAAAGGACATTGGCAATAAAAAATTAGTTTGTCTCATTCAAAAGAACTCTTAGAATTAGATATGAAACTTAGTTCTCGAAATATTTGGACTAATTCTTGACCTCATTAACATATTTGGACTAATTCTTGACCTCATTAACTATGGTTTTGATGACGTCAGGAGTTGGGTTAGCCATATAAAACTGCTCCGAAATGACCGAGAGTAACAATCCAAAATTGTTTGAAATGTTTTTAATGATAAAATGTTTTTATAAAAGATTAGCGTCGCCCCTCTCTTGACGTAACATGCATATCCTCAATAATCCAAGATGGCGAACAACTCACTTTTTTCAGTCAAATATTTTGAAAGCTGAGCAAGATATAAACAATCTGTCATAGAGTATAATATATAGTTTTACGAGTCCTTTCAAATGAACTAAACTAATTTTTATTGCCAACGTCCTTTAAGCCAATATTCTGGCTTCAAAATTGGCTGATTGAATGATTAAAAAAGATACTCGATCTATCCAATTCCAATTTTGAAATCAGTGATAATATTAGACCACCATTGCATATAAATCGCCGTTTTCTCTCTTTTTCAGCCTTTTCTGTTATATTGTATCTCTCCTATGACCGCAAATTTTACGTATAATATACTTGATTCTGCTTCTGTAAACCAGGGCCTGGTTGTATAAAACTCTTATAAACTATTATATAACTAGAAAGAGCATGTTAAAATGAGTAAAATTGCAAAGTTTGGACGCGAAATGTTGTAAAATGCAGAAAATATAGCCCTGCGAAATTTGAAAATTTTGTAATTAATTTGTATTGTATGTCGAGTGTAATCATGATATTTACCCAGAACTTTCGCAATAACTTAAGCCCTGGGTAAACTAGGAAACATTGTTGTGGAAACGTTTGTGATTCTCGATGTTTCCTCAAACGTTTCCCTGTTTGCCCACCCGTGGAAACATTGTTGCGGAAACAAAATTTGCTTCCCGAGAAGCAAAAATGGGTAATCGTTCCATGTTTCGCGCACCAATATAGTAAACGTTATGTAATGGATATTATAGTGTACTGAAAAGTTCACTAAAAGTACACACCCTAACCCTAACCCCAACCTTAAACCTACCCCCTAACCTAACCCCTAACCTTAATACCTAACCCCTAACCCCTAACCCTAACCTATATTGGTGCGCGAAACATGGAATGATAACCCAAAAATGTTTCCTAGCGAATTCAGAAACATTTGACGATTTCCTATGTTTCTCACTAATGTTTCCTAGTGTTTGCCCACTCTTGGAAACATGGCGAAACATTGGTAGGAAACAATGTTTCCGCAACAATGTTTCCCAGTTTGCCCAGGGCTTTACTGGTAACTTTAACTACATTTTTATACAACCGGCCCCAGAACATAATATCGTAACCAGTATACGAGTTATTGAAGACATGGTTCGGAAACTCTGCCGAAGTCTTGGTTCTATTAATTTGTTCATTTGCATATACAAACTTTGTACGCACAATGAATTTTTGGCATAATATCATTTTAGTCAGCCCCTGTCCAAGAAGCGCTCAGAGACACACGCACGACGTCGCTACCATTTTCGGATGGTCTTTCAACACGATGTTGCCGTCGTTGTCGAAGAACAGCAAATTAATCGACTCCAGATTTCCTGGAACACAGCACGGTTCGGGGGCCGCCGTACTGTCGAATAAATTATACAAACTTTGAAGCGCTGCATGGTTGGTTGTTTCGGCTGAATCAAATGGATAGATGCATAAGCCTTGACAGAAAAACATATCATAGCCCGGCGGTGCGATAATAGTGTTATGGAGGCCAACCGCTTTAAAGTCGACATAAAATTTATTTAGTTTGCATTTCCCCGTCGATTTCCGTTTTTCCTGTGCTGCGCGACGTTCGCGCGGGGGAACCACGAGTTCGGGCGTGAACGTGGGAAAAACACGCGTGGTCGTCACGAAGCCCACGAGGTACGGCCGCTTTTCCAAATTCCCGCGTGTACCCACTAACCCGAACGAGTGCGGGCTCAACTCCTCGTGAGCGTGATGGACAACAATCTTGAGCCCGTGGTTGGTCAGCGGAAAGCGAGCCCACAGTTTTATGGCAGCGGTTACATTGAAGGTCTGCCAGCCCGATTCCCACGCGTGTACGTCCCGTTTATCGATAAGTTGGATGCCTCCCTCGGGTAAAATAAGATGGACACTCATAGAGCAATTTCCATGTGTTATATTGCGATTCCTGGGCAACCTTTTATAAATCTTCATCTCTCCCCCCTGGACGATGTCTTCCTGAGCATTGAATTTTGTTTTGAACTTGAGTTTGAATTCGTGGTGAATGCGGTTCCAGATTTTATCGTGATCTGATGAATAAAAAAACGATTATTTATTATTTTATTTAAATATATTTATGCACAGTAACCTTTCAATTTCCTGTTTTTCAAAGAGCCGTGCTTTAATCTATTTACATTAATTCATTTGAGTAAAAATCTAAATAACAAGGTATTACCAAATATGATAACAGCCAACAACGTGTTTCCATTACAAATAAATTTTGCACTGATGTTTCTATCATTAACTTTAGCTGTTCTGAATTAGCCGTTTCCCAAAGTCCTGGGTCTAATCGCGCGAATCCCTTGTTGGAGGGACAAGAAATATGGCAGCACACATTTAAATTAAATGTTTAATGTAAAAAGGAGATAATTTCATTTTTGGTCGCCTAAAAAGTTGACATTTGATAGTAGATACTTCTACTTTTTCACGTATTTGACGCCTGACACCATATATTTTGTCCCTCCAAACGATTCCAGAATGAACTGTGATCTCTTTTGGGAAAAGGCTAATTAATCGCTTGAATGAATTTAAGGAAAGACATTCATAATTGTCTACGATTTCACAAGGGAAATTATTCCAAGATACTGCTCTGTGGTATGAGAAACTGTTTTAAAGGAAGTTAGTGTTTGGTTTGGTAAGTTGAGTTTCCGATCATTGCTTCTCAGTGCATATTTATTATTTTGATATGTACTAAACAGTTCACTTAAATTATAGCAGCCTGGTGTCATTCCTTGTATTGCCTTACAGGTAAACTACGTCAAGCGTTCCTCTTTCGAGTTTCTAAATTGATTGCAATTGTCCTCATTACCTTTGCAATTTAAAAAACTCCCTTGCATATCCCTCGAGGGAATCTTCAATGTTGCTAAAGGCCAATTAAATTTTCCTCAGTTCCTGTTAAAAGTTCTTAACTTCCTGTTACAAGTCCCTAACTTCCTGTTCTGTTCTGTTCTGTTCTGTGCGTAATTGGCTAACAAAAATAATCCACCAATGAAAACGCTCAGAACAGAACAGAACAGGAAGTCAGGAAATTAAAACAGAAAGTTAGGAAAATTTAAAATGAAGTTTTTTGGCATTGGAATATTGCAACAGCTGATAGGAACATTGCAAATTCTCTCAAGAGTTTGCAAAGAGTTTTTCAAATTTGCAAAGCTAATAAGGAAAATTCCAAATGAGTTAGGAAGTCAAAAGAAGAACGCTTCACGTAGTTTACCTGTAAATGTTATTTGTTCGTCTCGTTGTTTCAGGATATGCAACCGGGTTCCCAATGTAGTTTTTCCGCAAAAATCTTTTCACTTCTAATGTCAAAACTTGAATTTGTGATGACCCTTGCGGCTCTTTTTTGTAATTTACCATTTGTTGAGCAGCATGTAAAATGTGGCAAGACATGTTTAACTCACAATTATTTTCATGATTATACACAATTACTTAATCTAATTCTCAAATTGCCCAATCAGAAAGCTATGTTTGCACCACGTGATCATGATCATCGAATCATACGTAGTCCTGGGAACGAAGTTGATGAAGTGGGTGATCTACCAAACACCACAGGTTTTCTACGGATTATTCTTTGGTTCCTTATTCAGTAACTCTGAACCGACAAGGAATGGTCCTTATTGGACCTCTAGGGTGAAAGGTTTGGAACTAATACAGCTATCCCGTAAAAATTAGTCAGTTTAGTTCAATTTCCGCCCGAAGTAGGTTTTGAAAGTATTTTAGTGTCGCAGTTTTGAGCGTACCTACGTGATTTTCACAAAGCAAAGGTTAGCTCGACTTGCTTGATTATTGCATATTTGTGCAATTGCTCTTTTACATAGGAAATAATACATGGGTGCGTGGAAATATCAGATTTATTTCGAGTGTTGAAACACGAGATATCATGTTTATTCGATTAACTCGCAACATTTTAAGAAACTTTTCGAAGAAATTTAGTCCCACATGAAGAAGTTTTAACAATAAGTTCTTTGTATGTTTGCATGGGGATAAAATATAATAGTTTTGTTTGTGGAAACACCACGTAAATTTATTACTGCTAAGCTTTCGATCCGTAAGCCCGGATCTTCATCAGTGTTAATAATATGTTATATGTTACAATTCCCAATGTAGTTTTTCCAAAAAAATCTTTTCACTTCTAATGTCAAAACTTCATGAATTTGTGATGACCCTTGCGGCTCTTTATTGTAATTTACCATTTGTTGAGCAGCATGTAAAATGTGGCAAGACATGTATATGTTATTGTTATTTAGGCCAATGAAAATTGATATCATGTTTCTCGTCCACAAGTTTCAAAAATTTGGAGCGGGATTTTTTCATTTTTCATTATTTTTTGTATTTGAATTCTGCTTGTCAATAATTTCCTTGACCCAGCAAAAACCCCATAAAAATCTGAAGTATTAAAAATTGGTGTATAATTCATTTTAATTCAATACGTCCTACACTACAGTCTACAGACTACAGTATATTTCTACACATACCAGGGCTGACATGAAAAATAGAGGCATTCGGGCGAGTAATATCTTTAGAAAGATACAATTTGAGTTGCGCTTGCGGAATGCAGCAATAAGACTTTGATCTGGAGACGAATTTGGTGTTTTTTAAGCCTATTTTTCAAAAATAATGAATAATGAAAAATTTTCGTGCGGCAGATAAATCCCATGCGGGCGGGGACGAGAAACATGATATCAATTTTCATTGGCCTTATTTTTACATATTATTAGCACTGATGAAGATCCGGGCTTACGGATCGAAAGCTTTGCAGTAATAAATTTACGTGGTGTTTCCACAAACAAAACTATTAAATTTTAACAAGTTTACCCTGCTTGTGATGTCATCAAAAACTCAGTTAATTAGATCAATTATAATACCAAGATGGCGGACTGCTCACTGTTTTTGGTAAAAACATTTCGAAAACCAATCAAGGTACGAAAAAGATAACTTTAAAAGTTTTTTCAAATAAGACATTGCTTTTATTGCCTTGGGGACGGGTCATTATTTATGGCGGGGGGTGGCACCGAAGAGAAAAGGGTTGGGTGATCAAAATTTTGAGTGAGTAAAAGGTTGGGTAAATGAAAAACAAAACAACTCAAGGGTTGGGTAATAAAAATTTATTGTCATTTCCAAAGCATGACTCACTGAAATATTGGAGACTAAAAACCAATGTCAACAGTCATATGTCAATACAATATGTGAATCAATCAGAGTCACTATCTTGATCACTGTTTTTCGATTTATTGGGAGACAAATGGTGTCTCCAAGGAAAGTACATTTGCAGACAACATGGAACTTTAGACTGCAGAATATTTCCCAATCCGTTATCAAACTTGTGTCACAGAAGTGGTAAACGACATGTGTGACAACAGAATGGTATCCTTTTGTAACGTTTTTGGCCAGGGGTGGGTATTTATTTTTTAATTGATATTTGAGGTTGGGTAGTCAAATTTTTTACTTTTTAATGGTTGGGTCAGCAAAATTTTTGCTACGAAAAACATTTCTCTTCGGTGCCACCCCCCACCATAAATAATGATCGGTCCCTTATCTAAAAGTTGTGAATGGGCGATTCCAGCTATATAGACTAAATTTTGATCAAGGTAAGAAGAACGAAATCGAACACCACAGCTAGAAATAGCGTCTTAGAATGAGTACAACTGCAAATTGGTTGATAAATGTTGTAAAATGAAGAAAATATAGCCATGTGAAGTGTGCAAATTTTGTATTGATATTTGTATTACGCGCGGTAAATAATGAAAGACATAATAGTTACAATCTTAGAAATACGGATACTGATTTAGCACCACCTATGCCGAAAAAAGAATTCGGCAAGAGGTGCTTCAGTTATAATGGTGCCTTGCATTGGAATAATCTTCCCCATGAGGCAAAAATTGCTGAATCCCTAAACTCTTTCAAGTCGATATTGAAACAAAGGATGAGTTGAAATTTGCTTGTGTATAATCGTGCAGCTAAAATCAATTGTATTTATTTATTTTGTTATATTTTGTATTTCATGTATATAGTTAACTTTTTGTAAATAGGTAATTTCACGCCCCTCATGGAAACCAGCCTTCCAACGGCTGTTGAGGCTAGCGTGGTCTAAATAAAGTTTTGTATGTATGTATGTATAACCACTTTCGGCTCAAAAATGGTTCCCGCACGTAATGCAAATATATACAAAATTTGCGAAATTGACAGAGCTATATTTTCCTCATTTTACAACAATTCGCAACCAAACTTTGCAATTTTACTCATTTTAAGATGCTCTTTCCAGCTATGGTAATGGATTTCGTACTTCTTGTCTAGATCAAAATTTCCTCTGAAGCTGGAACCATCCATTGGGTAGCAACTGTGGAAGGTGGTTTTATAGAGTTTTTTGTTCTGTTAAATTTAGAAAACGGTTCAAACATGTCTCACAAGTCACGAGTGTCGGTTCCTGTGTCTGTAATCAGCGCCATAAAAAATCCAGAACAGTCAATGAATTCTAAGCCTCTCACATGATTCATCTTGCATAATAGTTAACAGTGCCAAAGGGGTATTTTGTTCCGAAAAAGGTTATCACGTCAATGAAATAGAGGTCAAGTGTTTTAACTGTTTACGAAACAAACACTACAGGATCAATACAATATTATTATGGAAATATTGTCTAAGCAGGAAGACAATTTTTAAAAAAAAATATGATCGCTTCAAAGTGTTATCACTTATCCGAGTCAAAGTCCTTTTTAAGATAAACATTCTGAACAGAGTGATTTCGAAATGTACAACATTCGCTTCAAAACAAGCCCAATGCATGGCTGGTCTAAAATTGTGACGGTATATATATAAACGTTACTCGCGTTAGTTTTTTTAAAGACAATCTTTCTGCCCACACACAAAGAATCATAATATGTACA